CAGAAAGTTGGTGGTTCAAATTCACCAGCCACTCTGTGGAAGCAAGACAGGGCAATCTACTTCTGTAAAGATTTACTGCCTCAGAAACCCAATGGGGTCTCTGTGAGTCAGAATCGACTCAATAGCAGTGGGTTTGGTTTTCGGTTTGGTGGATGTTTAAACAGCTTTGACCAGATGTCTCAGGAATATGTGAAAACCATCTTGGTGCCAGCATCTCATTTCTCCAAAACAGCTTGTTAAACAAATACCCTTTAGGTTGTCTGGGAAACTGGCTCCAAAACTCTTTCAAACAATTCTCTTTATACATCCTTGTCATCAAAGAGCTCTGGTGGTACAGTGGCATTTGGCTGTTAACCACAAGTTAGGCAGTTTGAACCCACAAGTTGTTCCATGGGAGGAAGATGAAGCAATCTACTTCCATAAAGACTAACAGCTCTGGAAACATTATGTGGCAATTGTACTCTGTCCTATAAGGTCTCAATGAGCCATAATCCACTCGATGGCAGTGGGTTTGGTTTTCTTTGGTTTTGTCATGAAGAAATATTTCTTGAGCCTACTTTATACTAAAGATAACTGTATCAAGATTCACTTCCATTAGAGTGTATTTCTTTCACATCCTGGCTTGACCATACAGAGAAATTACTTCTTAGTTTTTACAGCTTCCAATAATTAACATAGCCAGATAACAGGAGGTTGTCAGGTTTGTGTTGACTCTGTAACTGAGCAAACAGAGACCCAGGCAGACAGGCATGTAAAAGACTAGTTTAATTTAGCAAGAAATGAGTTGAATTCAATCATTTAGTTTGGGTTCAAAAGACAAAAAAAAAAAACAAAAAAACCCACAACATTTTATGAATTTCTTTATATAACCCAGATTTTAACATGAAGTTTTCAACATAAAACACATAGCTAGCTTTTGATTAAAAATAATACATATCATCAGGAGAGACCAATCCCTGGAGAAGGACATTTGGTAAAGCAGAGGACTAGTGAAAAAGAGGAAGACTCTTAACAAGTGGTTGTAACAATGGGCTCAAACGTAGCGATGATTGTGAGGACCTG